AAGACACATTTGTTCTTTCCTGACAGCCCATTCTTCAACAACACCATAATTCAAGGACATCAATCACTCTTCTATTTTCCTTATTCATTTTCTAATTTTCACAAACATATGAGGCAATTGAAAAATACAGTGGCTTAGTAACCATAGTCATGCTTTTTTTAAAAACCGGTTTTATTGATATATCATTCACATGCGATAATCCAGTTGTTTAAACATAGTAAAGACAGTTGTGCAGTTTTGGAATGCTTTATTTATTCTTGTACTCATTATTATTAGGTCCTCATTGCCCCCAGTCTCCCCAGTCATAACTCTAAGGAACAAATAATGTAGTTATTGTCTGTATGGATTACCTATCCTGGACTTCATATAAAGAAAATCAGACCCAAAACAACACACACACACACACACACACACACACACACACACACTCCAACAGCAACAAAAGTAAAACACAGAAAAATCTCCATCTAAAAGAAAGCAGGAGATCACAGAAACTAGAAAGAATTAAAGGGACCACAAATGGCCATAGGTTATATCTGCAGAAATCCATTTTCTAGGGGACTCTGTCTGATGGCAAGACTATTCATGTCCCTGGTCCATGGCCTCAGGGAGGTCAATGGAGGCTTTAATCTGGGTGGGGACTTTGCAAAAGGAGTTGGGCTTTCATTGTCATCCATAGCCTTCTAAAAACTGGTGCTCAGAATTTAAGCTCTGATACAATTTCCTCCTTTGATCTTGTATTTTATTATTGACAGTCCTTGGATCACACAGCTCTTGTGCTCCTTCTCTATCCCCTTAGCTGACACCTCACTTAGATGGCTGCTTGTTTTAAGGCAAACCTTTCAGACCCCAGATGCTAGTCTTTCTGAGAGCGAGTCACCATCTGATTTCTTCACCACATTTAGCCACAACATCTATATCTTCAGTGATCACTGCATGAGAGCAAATACTGAGTAGCGTCACATCATAAGAACTAACTGTTCTTAGCTTAGGGTTAGAGACGTTTGCTTTTTAATATGATAAAGAAGTCTTTTGCAGCAGATTCGGTCAATGGAACAGCAAATCCCCAAACCATTGTCATTAGAGTGGATGCTGACTCAAAGACCCTATGTAGGGTTTTGGGCTATAAATATTACAAGAGCAGGTAGCCTCACTTTTCTTCCACAGAGTAGCTGGCGAATTTGAACCGCCGACCTTGCTGTTAACAGTTCAAGAGTTTCCCCACAGCACCACCAGGCTTCATCGCTTAAGCCAATATATCCTTTAATTTCTTGACTGCCGCTTCCATGAGTGTTGGATGTGGATCCAAGTAAAATGAAATCTTTGGCAACTCTAATCTCTTTCCCATTTATCATGATGGTGTCTATTGCTCTGGTTGAGAGGATTTTTAAAAAATTATATCGATTGAGGTGTGATCCGCACTGAAGGCTGTGGTCTTTGATCTGCATCAGCAAGTGCTTCAACTCTTCTTCACTTTCATCAAGCCAATTTGTGTCATCCGTATACCACCGGTTGTTAATGCGTCTTCATTCAATCCTCAAACTGTCTTGGATTATTTGATTACCATACAGACTGAAGCAGTGTGGTGAAAGGCTACAATACTGACGGAAAGGATTCACACCTTGACTGATTTTAAACCAAATGATATCTCCTTGTTCTGTCCAAATCCCAGCCTCTTGGTCTATGCACAGGTCCTGCATCAGCACAATGAAGTGTGCTGGGATTCTCATTGTTTCCAATCTTCTCGGCAGTTTGCTGTGATCCGCACAGTCTAATGAATGCCTTAGTCAATACAACACAGGGAAGCATCTTTCTGATCTTCTCTGTTTCCAGGTAAGATCCACTTGACATCATCAATGACAACCTCTTGTTCCCCGTCCTTTTCGGAATTGGCCTTGAGTTTTTGGCTGCTCCCCGTTGATGTGCCCAGGCGACAGTTTCTGGGTGGGCTGTCGCGCTTTCAGTGAGAAGGCGGCTGAGGAGTTGTAGTGGTGGCTGGGGGGGATTTAGGGTGGTGCAGGGAAAGGAGCGGTGCAGGCAGGGGCACTGGGATGAGGATTGGAGGAGCTGCTAGAGCATTACAAGAAGCTGCACTTTCCAGGGCTTTCCCAGAGGTGAGGACCAGGGTGGGGAGACACTGTCGTGCTGAGCTATGGTCAAAGAAGGCTCCCCCAGAGAAGGAAAGACTGAGCGATGTTACACCAGATCCTCAGCACTCCTGGGCTCACGGTTCAGTCCGTGGCAGAGCCACATGTCCCTTCGCAGCTGCAGGAGTTGGGATCGCTCTGCGTATTTCGTGTGCAGAGAAAAATCTCTCAGCCAGGAAGGGACCTAGCTTTCAACCTGCCATGCCATTTTGTCAATCTCTTCACCACTAGTGCGTACCCACACATAGTCACATGTATGTATGCGTGTGTGTATACAGCTATGCATATATGAGGGGGGCCTGAGGATCAACTTCTGGAAAACCAGCCATGGAAACCCTCTGGGATGCACTTGTATACAAACGGTGTTGCCCGTGCGTGAGCGTCAATAGAATGGCAATTTCCAAACAAACAGCAGCGTTGACGAATCTAGGAATTCCAGAAGGTTCCTGGGTAACTTCGGGGATATGAGTTCATCTCACAAAATAACTACGGATCTCAGCCTAGCACGTGCCAGACCCTGAGCTGGAGGGAATGGCGGGCAACACCGATGTCATGGCCTCATGAGGCAGGTGGGGCCTGGTTGCCTTGGCAAGCTGGAAAGGTGGGCGGCAGCAGGGAAGAAGGGGAGGTTCACCGTGGGCTGCTGCATGGGCAGTGGTCTGATCTGTGTGGGAGTCCTGGCTCCTATCCTGATGGACGTGGCTTGGGCCTGGCACTGGGATTCCTGAGGGAGGGGCCCAAGCAGGCTGAGAGGTCATCGGGTGCAACCTCTTAGGTTACCCAAAGGTGCAGTCTCTGCTCCCTCCCCCGCCCCCTCAGGATCTCGGAGTGAAACAAGGCCACTGAACTAGATGGCTCGAAGGAAACTCCCTTCATCGCAGAATTGCAGATATGGGGAAGCTCCCTGGAGGGGGCTTTTTCCCCATCCAAAGTGTGACCTCTCTCTTCCACCCTTAATCCGGGGTCACAAGAGCCCTTCTCAAGCACTTTCAAGAAGCCCAGACAGATGGCACCAAACCTTGCTTCTAGAAAGAAAGAGTGAGGGACTGACTTTGGCAAAACCAGCCAAGAGACCCCCCTGGGGTGCAGTTTCTGTGGAGGAGGTTGCAGCCTTTTGGAGCATACCGGATGGAGACTGGTCTGTGTTCTTGTTGTGTTTAGTTTCCCCCTCAAAGTAGATGACAGCAGCATTTATGGATCTGAGGAGTCAAGGAGGTGCGTGGGTTGGAGGTGAGTCCTCTGTGATATTCAGCCCGGTTCCTAGCTCTTTATGGGCCGAGATCCTCAAGGTCTGAAGTTCGAAACCACCAGCTACTTTTTGGGAGAGAGCCAAGGCTGTCTCAGACAGGCACAAGGACGTTCCACCCTGCGGGAGTGACAGGGTCGTCTGTCTGAGTGCGCATTGACTGGATGGTGTGTGTGTGGGGTGTTTGGTTTTTGGTTCACACTGACCCCAGGCCGAGTCCCCGGGGGCACTTGACTCTCCTCCTTGGTTCTTGTCTTGCTTCTCCTTCCCTCACCTGCCCCCATCCCTGTCCCGTGAACCCTAATGCTCTCCCCACCCAAAGGCCCTTCCTTTTCACTTGGAGGTCATCTGAAGTTGAGTTTCATCCAGGATGGGGCTCGGGGAAGGAGGAAGGGGTCTCTAATCCCCTGGAGGGAGGGAGGCACCATTGTGTGGCCTCAGGTGGAGTGTTTACCAGCTTGTTCACATTACTGAGCCTGACTTCCTCATAGCATGCGACTCCAGGGTTGAGCAGGCACGTCTCTGGCCATCCTGGCTTTGATGGGCACCAGCACAGGCCCTTGCGCCCCTCCCACGGCTTCAGAGGTCCACCCGGCTCCGGAGAAGTGTGGGGCCAGGAGAAATAGCCTTCCCACCTTGAAAAGAAGATGTTCCGGCGCTTTCTAAAATCCACAGGTGCCCAACTAGGCCTGCAGCCTTGCAGAAGCTGAGCTGGGGGCTTCTGGAAGGTGTCCTTCCAGATGAGAGGCTGTGCTCGACTACAATAGCCCTAAAACTTCCTGGCGTGGTACCCCCCAATGTCTGGTGCCTGCTCTCAGAGGTCCAACAGAGTGTTTGTTTGTTTTTGTTTTTTTTCCAAGCGAACATTTTGTTTCTGAGCCTGGCGGCCTCGGGCTTGTCCCTGAGCCAGTGCCGTGCTTCACCCCAGCGGGATGGGGCTGGCGTCTGGGTGTCTGTGGAAGGGCTCGGAGCCGCTTCTGGGCCATCCTCGACGGAGAGCCTGGTGTGGTTAGGGTGGTGTCTCCTGCGTGATTGCTGGGTTGGGCTAGAGGAGGGACTTGGGTGCCCTGTTTTTCGGTTTCACTTCCAAGTCCCGAGTGTCCTTTAGCCAACGACGACCACAACAGCTCTATTGACGTGCCAGCTTTGTCGTGCCACCAAGGGCTTTCCTCCTTCAACGCTTGCAGGCCCAGCCATCTTCTCTTCACTCACCTGTCTCCTCTCTTCTTTGAATCCTCCTTGAAGGCCTAGCTCAGGGCCACCCCTCCCACGGCCAGCATAACGTGCTGCCATCTGGCTGCTTCCGTGACCCGGGGGCACGCTCCAGCGCCCCGCTCGCAGCCTGGGGACTCAGGGATCAGGGTCTGGGCCGCTTCTCCCTGGGCTGTGCACGTGGCTGGGAGGCCACTGTGTCAGGATAGGTCAGTTGGAGCCAGGTGCCAGACACAGTCAGGCCACGGGCATCTTGCTCTCCAAGGCCCAGCCCAGGCACAGGGAGGGGATAAAAGTCCCGTGCCGTGGCCCCAGGGCAGGAACTCACACACCCCGAGAATCAGCGAGTCTGCTGACAGCAGCGACAGCTGGGTGCCCAGTGGTCTGTCCCCACCATGTCTCTCTCTCCAGGTCGGGCCCAGAGGGGCTTCAGTGCCCACTCAGCCTGTTCTGGTCCCTCGGGGGCCCCAGCCAGGAGCAGCTTCAGTAGCAGAAGCCTTAGTCCCTTCCGGGGATGCAGAAGGGCTTCCAGCGGAAGCGCCTGGGGGTCAGGAGGAAGGCTGGGGAAGTGGTTTGGAGGGGGCAGGGGTGGGTCTGGGCTTTCCCAGTGCCCTCCGGGGGGCATCCAAGAAGTGACCATCAACCAGCAGCTACTGAGCCCATTGAAGGTTGAGATCGATTCCCAGTTCCAGACGGTGAGGACCCAGGAGACCCAGGAGATCAGGGCCCTCAACAACCAGTTTGCTTCCTTCATCGACAAGGTGAGAGGCCAATCCTGTGTCTGTCATGATGGGCTAGAGAGTGGGGTGGCCTGGCTTCTTCCTCCGGTGTTTCTGACGACTTCTGCAGTACGGCAGTCCTTCTGGGGTATCTGTCATTCTGCTGGGAGCCCCCTTCTTTCACGCTCGGGCCTCAGCAGGCCAGTATTATGCCTTACGATCTCTTAAATGGGATCACATCCCGGTGAAGGCCCAAGGATTCCCACCACACCGCCTGGGTAGGGAGTCAGGAAAATGCGGACTGACTGGGGGGCCCCTAAGGCTTTACTTTCCGGATGCTCCATCCACGAAGTCCTCTGGACCGGAGCCTTAGGGATCCCCTGCTGGGCCTGTAGGTGCGGTTCCTGGAGCAGCAGAACAAGGTGCTGGAGACCAAGTGGCACCTGCTCCAGCAGCAGCAGCAGGGGGTGAGTGGCCGCCAGCAGAGCCTGGACTCTGTCTTTGAAGCGTACTTCAGCCAACTCAGGCATCGGGTGGAGGAGCTCCAGAGAGATCGACGGGCTCTGGACGCCGAGCTGACAACGTTCCGGAACCAGGAGGAGGAGTACAAGGCCAAGTAAGCACAGCCACGCCCCAGCATTTTTCCAGGGCCTAGGGCATCCAGGAGGTGTGCCAGGCAGAGGGTCTCCCCCATGCTGAGGTCCCAGACAGGCAGGCCTGGCTGTCCCGGAAGCATCCCCCCTCCACCCCTGCATCCCCATTGCCTGTGACTCTCAGCATGGGCCACCTGCTACAGGTAAAGGAGTCCCAGCAGCCTCCTTCCCCGACCTTGGGCGCCTTGGAGGCAGGGCTGCCACCCAGTTCTAGGAAGCCCCTGCTCTGAGGATCCCTGTTTCTGCTCAGGGCGGGGAAGGGCCTGTGTTTTTCAGGAGACATTCCTGTTCAGCAGGCTATGACCGAATGTGACTCATGTTCTCTGGTGTCAGGACTGGATAGGAATCAATTCTGTGGGACCATCTCCAGGCATGATTCACGCCTGGGTTGTGCTTCTGAGCTCCACACCTGGGTCACCTGGTGGCCCAGAGAGAGTCGCCGACTCACAAGCACCTCGCGTTTGGGGAACCAGAAGGAAAGAGCAAGTGCTTCCTTTCTCCCAGCCCCGGGGTTCATGTCTACATGCTGGGAAGTGTCAGCTCTTCCTTTCATGACCTTTCAGGGCTGTAGGGAGGATGGGTTGGGCAGTGGGGGGCCCTGGAAGGAGCCCCAAGATCAGAGCTAGAATCTGTGGACCTCCCTATAATCTATAGGATGCTAGAAGCCATTCTCCAAATCATCTGTAGAATGCTAGAAGCCGTTCTCCAAATAATCTGCATGTTGCTAGAAACCTTAGAGCCCAAACGGGCTCCCACCGATGATGGCTGTGAGCAGCGAGGAGACGAGGCATTTGGACGAGTCTTGTCAATGACGACACAAGGTCACTTTGTGTCTTTAAGGGCTCTGGGCTTATAGAGTGGCACAGAGGGAGGTCACTGGGAAAGAGGGAAGCCAGGAGCTGGTGGTAGGGTCCTGGCTTCGGAGCATTGGAAGGAAAGGGTGGTTTCTCCCGGAAGGTCATGTCTGGAGGCAGGGGCAGCTGCTGGGTCTAGCACCTCAGGTCTCTCTCTTTCTCTCTCTCTCATTGTTTGCTAGGTATGAGCAAGAGGCCTACACCCGTGCCACCGTGGAGAATGACTTTGTGGTCCTCAAAAAGGTGAGGGGTCAGCGGCTGCTCCTCCACTCTGGTTCTGGGCGGCCACTGTGCACAATGTTTAGGAGGGCCGAGATCCTTAAGGAGGAGGTCTGTCAGGCTCCCCCAGGGAAATGGACATTTGGGGACCTAGTCCCCAAGACCCCAAGATGAGACCCAGATGATGGGTAGCGTGGCGAGCTCTGGGGGTCACTTTGTGAGAGGCGGTGGGGGGGTGTTGAGATTTATCCAGGAAGGAGTAAGTCCTGAGGTTGAGAGTAGGGGCAGTGTCAGAGATGGGAGAGAGAGACAGGTCTGGAAGGTGGTGGGTGGGTGTGGGGTAGTGGGTGAACAGAATTCCCGAGCCAGAGAACAGGGGTCACCAAGAGGATGGGGAAGCTATCTGGTGTCTGTGTTGCTGTCTCCAGGATGTGGATGAAGCCTTCCTGGGCAAGATGGAGTTGGAAGGCAAGCTGGAGGTGCTGAGAGAGTACGTCTGCTTCTTGAGGCGTCTGTATGAAGAAGTAAGGCTCCCCCAAACAGCGAGGCGAGAGGGCGGGGGCATTCCTGATGGCTCAGGTGGAAAACTGGCCAGGAGACACAGCCCCGGGACACAGTCATTGGGCAAACAGTCTCCAGGGACTTACTGTGGCGTGAATCCTTAGAGGAGGCCGGTGGGGCAAGCGTTCAGCTACTAACCAAATGTGCGGGGGGCCTTGAGTCCCTCTGGGATTGATTTGGAAGAAAGGCCTGGAAACTTACTTCCAAAACAGCAGCCCCTGAAAACCCCGGGGAGCACAGTTCCGCGCAAGGCCGGGAGCCAAGACAGCCAGTGGCTGGCTACTCCGCAGGTTTTTAGGTCGGAGCGTCCAGGCCCAACATCTGACAGAACAGGCTCAGGAAAGAAGTGCATTCTAGAGCATGCTCAAAGGCAATATACGTTATGGGGGGAGAGAGAACTTAGAACAGGGTAAGGAGAACTGGGAATGCAGGGATGGGGCACAGGGCAGGTGGCAATTTGAAAAAAATGGTGGTCTGGTTAGACTCTGTTCGGAAGGCAACATTTGAGGCAAGAGTTGAACGGGGCGAGGAAACCAGCAATGGTGGTGGGCATCTGGGGACTCCGTGTAGAGGGAGCAACAGGTGCAAGGTGACAGTTAGGAGCCTGCCTGGTGTCTTTGACAAGATGCAGGGAGGTGGCTCACTAGGTGTAGGTGCTCCCAGTAGCGCAGAGGAGCGTGACATGAGGGTGGAGAAGCAGTGGGACCAGGCAATAGATAGAAGGCCTGGCCAGCTATTTTCTTTGATAGGGAAACACGAAGGGCCTTTAGAAACCATCACCTACAAACGTCCTTTCCGAAAAGGACAGGTGGAGCCCCACAGGGGCCTTTGCCTGGACAAGAGAGCCGAGAGAGAGTCTAGGCGTTCCTGCCCATTTGCCTGGCCTCCCAAGGGCTGGTGGAACTGAGTCAATATTTCCTGTAGGAGTTGAGCCAACTTCAGACCCAGGTCGGTGACACGTCCGTGGTGCTGTCCATGGACAACAACCGCTGCCTGGACTTCAGCGACATCATCACCAAGGTCCAGGCCCAGTATGAGGAGGTCGCTCGAACCAGCAAGGCCGAGGCGGAGGCTCTGTACCAGACCAAGGTGTGCGAATGAGGGGGACGCTCTCGGCCGGGACAGGCTGGGTCTCCATGCCAACCTCCATCTCTGTCCCACTGGGGTTGTTTTAATAATCCCCCGAAGGTCCTGAGCTGTGTGGAGCTGGCCGTTTCTTTCCTACCCCTCCAGGGAGACCAGGTCACTGAAGAGAAGACTTTAGACTTGCAAAAAAATAACAAACCCTCCTATTGTTTCTTGGTCCCAGTGCTTTCATCTCCACCACAAATGAGGTTATCAGGAGGAAAAGACTTGAGAGCAAACGGTCTCCTCTTGGGGTCAAAGGTGAGGGCCATCTCCACCAAGCATGCCACCCCTGCTTCCTCCCCCAGTACTGTGAGCTTGAGGCATCCGTCCAGTCCCACGGGGACAGCATCCGCGAAAGCAGAGCCCAGATCTCCCAGCTGCACCAGGCAATCCAGAGGCTGCAGAGCCAGATGCAGACCCTCAGGAAGCAGGCAAGTCTCCCCAAGCCGTCCGCGCCCCCCTATCGCCTTGGCCTCCTCATGTTCTCTCGGCTCCCCAGTTTCTCGCTCTCCAGCCGCCACTAGTTTTAAGCTGAAATAGGATGGAGATTTCAATAACTTGGGGTGGAGAGAGTCCCAGGTCCCAGTTAGGATATATTCAGCCTTCTGCCTATAAGTTCTGGCCTGCATTTTGGGGGGGGGGGTTTGGAGGGAGAGGGATGGAGCTACCACCCCAGGAGGTTGCCGGTCCCACGATAATCACGTCCATTCTGCTTTCCACTTCTTGGGGAAAGGGCTGGCTCATCTCTTCTCTTTTCTCTTCTTTTGACTTCTGCCTCTCAAGCTCAGCAGGGACGTCAAGGCCAATTGAGCACTGAATTGTCTGGTCCCCTTTTGGGGAGGGGTGTGCGTCTCTGGTTGAGCTCTCAGCCCACCTAGCGGTGTCTTGGAAGAAAGGCTGGGTGCTCTACTTCTGAGAGGGCCCAGCCCTAAGAGCCAGTGGAGCACGGTTCTCTTCTGAACACCAGAAGCAGCGTACTCTTTCCCTCGTCCGTTAGGGAAGATGAGGGCCAACTGCAAAGAGCAGGCAAGACGAGGGGTGGGAGAGGGTGACAGGTGCTCTGCTCGGCCCCAGGAGGATGCTGCTGGTGCCTCTCATTCTGCAGGAATGAACAGAGGGAGGTGGAGGAAGGGGCGACAGGGGTGGGGAGGGGCTCCCTTGGGGGGGCGGGCGGCTCGTTTTCAGATGTGGGAAGATCCCAAATTCTTAAATCATCAAGATGTTTTGGCACTCATTGTGCCCAAACCCAAAGAGTCGTGGGGACCCACAGAAGGGTGAGAGTCCAGACAAAAGTTCGGGGGTCCCTTCCATCTGGCCGGCCATCCTTGGCTAATCCACTTCCCACACAGGACCCGGGAAAGGTCTCAGAGCAGGTCCTTTGAAGCCGAGACTGAATCCGGCACCCCTCACCTGCTGTTCTTTGGCACAGGCTGGAGGTGACAGGCCTGTGGCTGCCATGCTTCTTAAGTGAATTAGGACCCTTTGCTCTGGTTGTCGGGTGCTATGTACCCACGCCTGGGAATCACAGTCTCACACACACACACACACACACACACACACACACACACACACACACCCCGATGGGCTTCTCCTATGAGAGGCCCTTTGGGGAATGTGGTCCTTTGGGGACTGTCATGACTGCCCCTTGCCCTCCGGTGCACAAACATAAACTGGGCTCCCCGTGCTGGGCTGCAGCCTGGACGTCGGCTGGGTGGGGGTAGGTCCCAGCTCTGCCCGGGACCACCTTTCCAGCCTGCTGTAAAAGGCGCACCCTCGCCAGCCACGAGGGGCTTGTTTGGGAGTAAAACAAGTGCCTTTGGGAATGCCTTCTTCCCCGAGCCCGGCATGAAGGCCTCGAGGGGAATGTCACGTGGCTCTATGCCTGGCTGACCAGGGAGGTTGTCTTTTCTTGGGGGTTGTAAGCATCTGATTGGTGGGGGAGATGCAGAGATGTATTTTTCAACCAGACTCTGAGGCACATGAGCTGATGGCAGACACAGTGTTTGACCCGGGGGCTGTCCTAAAAGGTCAAGGATCCCTGGAGACAGACAGTTATCCTTGTGGGAGAGCAAAAGCACCCTGAGAGAAGCGGGGTGCAGGGCCGAGGGCTAGAGGGGGGAAGGAGTTGGGGACACGCCGTCAGGAGGCACCAGAGGCAGTAGGGCACTTAGAATGAGAGGGAAGGAGGAGGGGGTGGCCGGCGGTCCTTTTGGGCCCTCGAAGTCCTGGTGGGCCTCGAGGTCTCTTCACAGCGAGGACTGTGGGCTGTGGGCACCACCATTTCCTCCCCCGGCCCCCTGCCCAGAATGACCACCTGCAGTCGGCCATCGCCGATGCGGAGCAGCGCGGGGAGCTGGCCCTCCAGGACGCTCAGGCCAAGCTGGTGGACCTGGAGGACGCCCTGCGGAAGGCCAAGCAGGACCTGGCTCGGCTGCTGTGTGACTACCAGGAGCTGCTCAGCACCAAGCTGGCCCTGGACGTGGAGATCGCCACCTACCGGAGGCTGCTGGAGGGCGAGGAGTGCAGGTGGGGGGCGGGCGGGGTGGGGGTCGTGGGACAGTGACCCCAGAGAGGTAGGGGATGGGGAGAGGGTCCCCACACAGCACTCTCTTTGCCCAAGGGCAAGAGCCCCTGACACTGCAAATCACTAAGGGCGGAGGCCAACTCTGTGCGGAGGGAGGGATTTTACCTGGGGGATTGCAGGCTTTCCCAGCTGAGGGGAGGGGAGCTTCCCGGAGACACAAGCTCTTTCTTGAGATGTCTCCTCTCTCTCCTCCAGGATGTCTGGGGAGTGCACCAGCCAGGTCACCATCTGTGAGTATCAGCTGCCTTTGGGAGCGGGTCACCGGAGGGGAGAGCGGGTCCACGTTGTGACCCCGGTGTGCTTCTTGCAGCGGCAGTGGGAGGTGGCAGCACCGTGTCTGGCGGAGCCGGTGGAGACCTGGTGGGCACATGTGGATTCGGAGGCTGGAAAGGGAGCTTTGGGGCCAGTTGCTCCAGCCAAGTGATCGGAGGGTCCAGTGTCGTCCTGGACTCCGGGAAGGGGGCTGTGTTTGGATCCTGCTCCGTGTCCGGCTCCGGCTCCAGCTCCGGCTCCAGCTGCAGCACCATCCTGAAGAAGACGGTCGAGTCCACTCTGAAGACATCCATCACATATTGAGTGAGCTGGCAGCACTGGTTCCCACCTCCTTCCCAAATCGGTCAGGCCTGCCCCGTCCTCCCCATCACCCACCATGCTCTGCCTGGCCAGCGCTGACCTCCCTGCCCATAGCCCAGGCCAGCCTCACACGACTTTGCAAAATTAATAAAGTCCTACTGCCGGCCTCTTCCCAGAATTCCCTGTCTGCTGCTCTGAATGCTTGCCCATCTCATTGGCCTCCTGTCCACCCCAAGTCAAGGTGTCCAATGGCCAGCCCTCCAGTCCCAGCCAACCAGCCTCACCTGCCCCTCTCCCTGAAGCCTCCAGGTGGAGTGGGACTAAGTCTGAGAAAGCTTGGCCAGTGGGGGAGGAAGGTAGCATCTCTAAGTGGGGTGCTCCTTGCTAAGGGGGTGCTGAAAGACTTCCTGGTGCTCTGAAGTCACCAGGGACAATCAGCTCTGCTGGGAGGGGGTTCCACATCCCTCTGTCCATGGCAGCAAGCCCGGGTCTTCATACCTCACGCCCACCTCTCGTCTCTGATCTTTGCCTGGGACACCGGTAGCTCACGCAGGCGAATAATTGATCCATGATTCTAAGTAACGGACCCAACGTTGCCCCTTAAGAGGGCCGAGGGGAAGCCTCAGGCCCACTGGTCAGAATCTGGAGTTTGGAATGGACAGGCCTTATCGTCTACATGGGCCTCTGTGTTGTTGGTTCTCTTAGGAAGCGAGGCACCGAGTTCTCCCCAGGGTGGGCCTTTCTCTCTTTCTCCCCAGGCCCCTCACCCAATTCCCCTCCCTGCTGTGCTCCCCACAGCTTGTCCTGAGTGCAGACATTCCTGCGTCACTCTGCTAGGTCTCAGGTTTCTCTGATAAGCCACGTTTCAGCAGAAGCCCTGCTGGCGACAGTGTGTGTCTCCCATCTCTGCCAGTATACTCCCTTCCACCCGTGAGAGTCAGGCCTTCTTTCCCTGGGACCCGAGTTTCCTGGGGCTAGTCCAGATCCCCCGAGGAGGGCGTCTTGGGAGGAGCAAGGGTTCATGAATCCAGCTGCTGATGGAAAGGGGAGGGCCCATCCAGAGGACCACGAAAGAAAGGCCTGGTGATCTGAAAGCCCACCCACGGAACCCCACGGAGCCCAGTTCCACGCTGACACACACACACGGCGTCAACAGCAACTGTTGCTTGTTTGTTCGGGGGTGCTGCAGGGTGAGCCTGGGACGACCAATCTCAGGATCAGCAGTTCGAATCCACCAGTTGCTCTTCGGGAGCAAGATGAACCTGTCCATTCTGGGCAAGAATTGTAGCCTCAGAAACTCCCTATAGGGTCACTATGGGCCAGAATCAACCCTACAGAAAGTGCCAACGAAACACACAACGTTGCTCTAGTTCTTTAATGCTCCCCCTCCCCCACCACTATCATGACCCCAGGTCTACCTTACAAATCTGGCTAGACCAGAGCGTGTACTGGTATCGGCAGTTAAGAGCTCTCGACATATGGAATCCAGGATGGATAAACCCCTCAGGAACAATAATGGGAGGAGCAATACCATGCGGGTAGGGAGAAGTTGGGGGGAGAAAGGGGGAACCGATCACAGTGATCAACATATTAGGCCCCCTCCCTCCAGGGTGGCAAACAACAGAAACATGGGTGAAGGGTGAGCAGATGGTATAAGATATGAAACTAAGAATAGCTTATAATTTATCAAGGGGTCACAAAGGAGGGAAGGGTCAGGGTATCAAGGGCTGGTACCAAGGGCTCAAGTAGAAAGGAAACGGTTTGAAAATGATGATGGCAACCTATGTACACATATACTTGATGCAATTGATGTACAGAATGTTATAAGAGCTGTAAGAGCCCCCAAAACAATGATTTATTAAAATAAATGAAATAAAAAAATTGACTCTATGGCAGTGGAGTTTTTTTTGGTGGGGGGGAGGGGGGAACTAGGAACCTGTATTAGTCTAGGTACTTTAGAGAAACAAATCCACAGCAACTCATGTATAAGAGAGTTTTATGTAAAGAAAGTGTGCATCACGAAAACATC